CGAGCATTGAGTTCACAAATCAGTACTGTCAATTAGTTCCAATGGTCCAGAGCGGCTTCCACTCCCAGCACACAGTGAGTGGCCAGTGGCGGAGCATTTCATAATGTCAGATATAACTCTCAGTTCCTTAACTTATTTATGCAGGTTATCACGTCTATACGTTTTCTGTGTAAAAAATGGAAATAGCATCACTGTCGTAGGTAATATCAGTGGAAATGCAAGAACAATTAGGCTAGTTTACACCTCTGTCTTTTGTGCATGAACTGTATGAAGACAGTCGTATTGTTGTTAACAGGTAGTTGGTGGTACTATATGGGGTTGTGTTGGATAATCCCTTTAGCGTGTCAACATTTTCATGTGTAAATTTTAGTGGTGGTGTAAGTGTATATCTAGAAAAATAGTTCATATTTTTTATCTGACATCAAACTTTAGATGTCCCCCCCCGTCATGTTTTGTGTAGCTAATGTTGGATAGGGGGAGTTATGATGTGTTACGGGTGTTATTCTCAGATAATGTGCGCCATTGCTTATACTGTCAGCCATAGCATCGTTAAACAACGTCGGCCTACCCTTGCACAAGCCTTGTATACTCAGTGTACCATCTGTACAGTGTCACCTGAACACTCACACAGCTGTTCATACATACCACACTGGACAGCTTCTTGTTGTATGTTGGATGTTGTGTGTTGAACACGATCCTACGACAGGCAGAGATGCACTGAATATATTGGATTCATTTGCTCTCCTATTTGATATAATTATTATTTCATGTTCTGTTCATTTATTTTTACCATGAAAGTTTATGATGATAATATAGTATATCGCAAAGTCCAATAATCTTGATAATGTATAGAAACCCTGGAAACAATTCATCAAAACCCGAGTTTTATATTAACATACTTTCTGTGGATGAATCACTTATGATCATCTTCCCGAGGCAAGTGAGTTAACTGACTATAAAAGTCCAGTTTCCACCCTTGCCGTACTAGGCTGGTATTATGGAGTTACATTTTGGCTGGAGTCTATGCATAGTCCAATCAAAATCGCGCACCGAAATCGAAAGCCAGTTTGTAAAGTGTCATGCAGATTTTGGTCGACTGCAGGATTTTCAAAGCATGTGCACCGCTAACTCGTTGTAAACAGATATTTTCTAAATCTTTTCATGCTTTTAATCAAGGTGCTCACGTGATTTGATGCACTTCGCGATGTAAGACTCGTTTTATCACAATATAGATCTTGATTATCAATCAGATCGTCTTGACTGGGCGCCACCGTTTTGTTTGAAGCAAAAGCAAGTGATACTAGAGGTTGAATTTGATTGGTCAATAGGAGAGGCATAGAAAGGACATAACTTGTAATAGCCACTGGTGGCGCTACGATCGAGCCCAGGAATTCTAGCCTAGTTCGGCAAGGGTGGAAACTGGACTTTTAAAGTCAGTTAACTCTCTTGCCTCAGGAAGATGCTTGTGTTAGGAAATTATAGTTTGATATGATATTGTATGAATTGTTGTATCATGATTTATAAACATAATACTGCTCATATACATGATACAGTCTCAAATAGAGCATGAAAAGAAGTGGAATTCAGTGTTTCTGTCATAATGGGCAGTTTGGTAGCCCAGTGGTTAAAGCATTTACTCGTCCTGCTGAAGACCAGGTTTGATCCCCATATGGTACATAATGTGGACCTGTTCTTGGTGTTGTCTCCAATATTGCTGCAGTTTGCGGAGGCAGAGTAAAAGATTCTTCCGCGAGTAGCTGCAGAGTTGCTGCATCAAGCCTCACTCACTCACTCACTCACTCACTCACTCACTCACTCTCTCTCTCACTCACTCACTCACTCACTCACTCACTCACTCACTCACTCACTCTCTCTCTCTCTCTCTCTCACTCTCACTCACTCACTCACTCACCCACCCACCCACCCACCCACCCACCCACCCACTCACTCACTCACTCACTCACTCACTCACTCACTCACATTGATACTATATCTACTAGCCTGATAAATCACATAACATTCCAAAACTATTTAGATACAGGCTTCCCGATGTAGAAGTGCTTATGAAAATAAACATGGCTGAGAATCATTTGGCGCTATATATGATGGGGCTCTTTAATCACTATTATCAAAATAACATGAAAGTGTCATGTGTAATTATAATTTTTTTATCAAAACTGTCTCGGTAGCAAAGGATCTTACTGATTTAGTTTCTTTTTTCATGAGGTTACAAGTCTATAAAAGTAACATGGTTCTAATATGCTATGTGACCTCTATTGGCCACACCCCACTGCAGATATTACGAGATCGTTTGTCATTAGGAACAAGAAATTTATTTTAACAAGCCTATTTAATGGCTGCACTTGCCAACTTTCGTTTTATGAAATATCATTTGAAAGGAATGTCTCTTGGCTGCCTGTTGACATAGTTGCTTAGATCTGACGTGTCAAGTATGTCATCCTGCGCCCTTCATGGAGAAAATGAACATTGTCTGTTACTGGATGGATGAACAATTGTTGAAAGATGTATGGAATTGATATTTCCATTGTTTCAAGGATTTCATCATGTTCTTGAGGTGACATTTAATGTTTGAAGCACTCATAAAATACTCAGATTCTGTCAGTGTGACAGTCAGAACAGCCCAGTTCACAGGCTTCACAAGCTTTGCAGCCACAGCTACTGTTGGGCTTCCAGAATTATCCTGAAATATCTCTGCCACTTCCCTATTGTGGACACAAATTAATCCTGATGCCCCTTTTTGTTGAAGATTGCTTGTGGGTTTCACCAAAGTGGTATATGCCTTGGACCTGCATCAGTTTGGGCTTCCCTGTCACATTAATTTGTTTGTTTGTTGTTTAACACCGCACTCAGCTATATTCCAGCTATATGACGACGGTCTGTAAATAATCCAGTCTGGACCAGACAATCCAGTGATTGACATCAAGAGCATTGATCCACGCAATTGGGACACGGTGACATACATCAAGTCAGCGAGCCTTACCACCCGATCCCGTTAGTCGCCTTTTACAATAAGCATAGTCATCTTTTACGGCAAGCATGGGTTGCTAAAGACCTATTCTACCTCGGATCTTCAGGGGTCAATATTAAAAAAAAATTAACATGCGGTTTCAAAGTGTGTCAATATAGATTTAAATGTTTAGTTAGTTATTATACGAGTTCTACAATACCAATATGATTTGATTGAAGCAGTGCTTAATGTTCCTTCAATCAATAAACAGCTGTCCATCTCAAGACTAAAGCCATGGTAGTGGTAGTATTCAGGTAGTAGCTATCTAGGATTAGAATCTCGGAGAGTGGAAGGTAGTGTCTATTTCTAAGTATCTAAGAATCTCTTCAGTTTGGGGGGAACCGGGAATTGTGTCCAAAGTTTGATAGGAGATGATGAAATTGAATGAGAGTTTAAAAATAATCATCACTTTCAGCTGAACTTTTTGTGAATAATTTTGAAACTGGTGTGTTGGTAATGTTGGTCAGCAATGGTCATGCATGTTGTCCTTTTTGTGTGAGTTTGTCTGTGCCTCAGATTGGCCAATATGTCTGACTGCAGGGATTTATCCATAACTCCAAACCAAGTGTGGCACATCGAGAAAAAGTTGTGATATTGTTAAAATTTGGATTTTTTACTGTTCGTCTTTTAATTAAATCTTAGTTGTTGGGAAGTTATTAATTCAAATTAGGAATGTTTGCTTTCATTTGATGCAGGCTTTGGGCCAAATATAGGCGTCTGGGTAGATCTAGTTAAATGTTTGGAGTGGTCAGGAAGAAGAGGTGATTGTTGGTTCTCAGCGGGGATTGTTTTGCTGATATGGACAGATGTAGAGGATATATAGACAGATGTAGAGGATATATAGACAGATGTAGAGGATATATGGACAGATGTAGAGGATATATAGACAGATGTAGAGGATATATGGACAGATGTAGAGGATATATAGACAGATGTAGAGGATATATAGACAGATGTAGAGGATATATAGACAGATGTAGAGGATATATAGACAGATGTAGAGGATATATGGACAGATGTAGAGGATATATAGACAGATATGGACAGATGTAGAGGATATATAGACAGATGTAGAGGATATATGGACAGATGTAGAGGATATATAGACAGATGTAGAGGATATATAGACAGATGTAGAGGATATATGGACAGATGTAGAGGATATATAGACAGATGTAGAGGATATATGGACAGATGTAGAGGATATATAGACAGATATGGACAGATGTAGAGGATATATAGACAGATGTAGAGGATATATGGACAGATGTAGAGGATATATAGACAGATGTAGAGGATATATGGACAGATGTAGAGGATATATGGACATGTAGAGGATATATAGACAGATGTAGAGGATATATAGACAGATGTAGAGGATATTTAGGATATATACACAGATGTAGAGGATATATAGGATATATAGACAGATATATAGTATCTGTAGACAGAAGTAGAGTATATGTCTCTCTTGGTCAAATCACATGTTTGTCTTGCCAAGTGACCTGACCTGATATGTGTGGTGCAGTCAGCAATGAAAATGTCACATGATTGGATAAACATGTTATTTGGCAGGAAAAGACCCAATCTATTTACGATGTATTTTTGTCGTTATCTTCATGACCTTACTCTGACAATAAAAGTGTCATTGAGCATGCAGATGGAAAGTAGTTCTGACGTTGAGTGTTATTTCACATGAAAGTAAATAGGGACTTCTTTTTTTCCAAATAAGAATTGTATTGCATGTATTTGAACTAGGGTCAATTCTTAGTTGCGTGAGTAAATTGTTATTAGCGCAGATTTGTCCTTTAAGATTTCTGCCAGAAGCTATTGCCTTTGATTTGCACTTGCTCTCTGCAGAAAAACTATAGAATCAGTTATATTAATTCCATGGCTCAGTTGTCAGCTTTAATGAAACTTGACAGAGGCAAATAATACATTTCACAAGTGCAACCCCCAATGTCCTTGATACAGGAAGAAAATGTAATTTTCCTCACACTGAACATGGTGAAAGTAAGATGTCAGAAAGTGTGCTTTGTTAAAAAATTATCAAAGACAAGAGAACAAAACGATTTCATTTTCTTTAACTTCCTTCATTTGTTTCTAATTTGACACAAATGTCAAGATTTGTTTGAAGAGTAAAATCAATGAATCTCTCTTGGTACATATTCAGCTTTGTAGCCTGCCTTTTACAGGAGTTATCTCCCTTTTCCTGTTTGATGTTGTCACATGACTTTACAGGTGGTTTAATTTCCTTGAGCTATTTATAGCAGGCTACTGGCCACGTTTCATGGAGCGGAGAGAAGGGCTCCCACACAGGTGTGTAGAACTGTTGGAAGTGGTCACATCGAGAGTCCTGTTGGATATGCGTTGACATCTGCTGTAGGCTGCAGTGTGTGATCAGCTGTGGTGATATTGAGGACAGTGAAGTGATATGGATGACTTCAGACAGCGGGAGTCTGATGTGAATATACATTGTCGGGTCTGAAATTGGCGCCTGATAGTCAGGTGGTATTGATGGAATATTGATACTTTGTTTGTAGTGACTGTCCCTGTATTGAATTCTAGCTGAAAGTGCAAATCAATTTTGAGAAGTTTTCTTTTGGGTTGTTTCATTTATCAGAATGATCCAAGAAATGCAACATTTCTTTCTTTTTTTGTTTTTCTTGGAAAAGCCCTGAGGAATAAGAAATGTATTTCTCCGAAGTGTTTCAAGTATGGGTGCTGGATTAACAGATTAGAGCTCTGTAACTAGACATACTTCACTCAGATTGACTTAACCAGTTAAGATGACATGACATGAGTTGAAATGTAAGTTTACTGAAATGAACATGCTGGGATAGTGTTTGACAAGGAAATGATACGTACATTTCTCAAGGAACTACTTCAAGGTGTATGAGTCTCAGGATTTGAGATATTGATGTGAGTATTGTAACAAAGGATAATGTCAGTTTCAAGAGGCGACAGGACTCAAATATTTGAGAAGACTGAGCGCTCAGTGGTGAGGAGTGCTTCCGACGCATCTGAATACTATGAGGCAATGGAATCTTTACCCAATGTGATTCAGGAACTGCCATATCGAAACACTTTCCCCAACGATCCCGATTTTGGGAGACTTGTTCAAGAGGTGGAACATGCGATTGATATTGGAATACCACCTACATTAAGCTCAAAAGGAACAAGCGGGTGTTACTTTGTCATGAATAAACAAAAGGTAAGATACCAACATACAGAATAGGTTTTTTTCTGTTTCATGATAAATGGAAAATATTTTCATGTCCTGTTATACCGTCTTGTCCTGTTATAAGGAATTTTAGTTAATATATCAGTGTTTGAAATTAATGTTTTCCAAAGGAGTTTATTCTTGGGAACCCCTGGACATCTGCTGAATATTACTTTTAATATATATTTCTGAATAATGTTGATCTTTTAATTTTTTAACGTTAAAGTTTCATGACAAGTTCTTTTAATTTTGAACACAATACATGAAGATACAAAAACATTCAAAATCCTAAGTCGCTAAGCATGGTAAGCACAATCAGTAAATGATTTTGAAAAAACACATGGTAATAGTTTACTTTACGATATTTTTTAAGATATGTTGTAAAAATGTAAAATATTTAGTGTTAGTTGAGTTCATGTTAGTGCACAGATTAATTTTTGTATTTATATGGTTGGTATTAATTTCTCTGTATGTCTGTATATGACTTCAAATTCAGTTAGATATGTCCTGTTATTGGATATCCAGCATGGCAGGGAATTGTTTGTTTTGTAGGTATAACTTGGAAGTGTGGGCCAGGCACTGGAGATAAGTAGCAGGACTTAGTGAGGCGGTGTAATCTAACAAGGGGGGGGGGGTAATGGGTACAACCATAGCCATTTCGCCTCGCCACAGATAAGCTTAGCAAGTAGTGCCTCGGGCCGTTCTGTCCTGGTCTGATGTGACACCCAGGAAATTGAGGAGGTAGCCTTAGGGGCGACAGGATGTGTTGTGATGACGGCGTACATGGCAGATATTGACATGCATCCTGTCGATGTGTGCCATGTTAGTTTCACACTTACATTGAGGATATCTGTGACTCATATCCAGGGATATTTTATTTTTCATTGTTATTTTTCTATTTAGCAATATTCAGATTATAGGTGCAGACCTTTGTGGAAGGTGACTTCGCACAATGAATATTTATATCCTATCAAAGTAACGACAGGAAGATGACTGATTTGAATTAGGGTATGTTTCATATAGCATGGTATAAACTTGGTGGTACATTTAGCTGTGAGGTTTAGAGGTTGTGGTAATTAGAGTAGTCCCGCACCATGACTGTGGAATGAAAATATTTATTTTATGAAAAAAACAACCACAATCTAGAAACACATACAAAAGCTAGTCTAGCCAGCTCTAGCTAGCTCTATTCCACGTGAAAATCAGCAAAGGGAATTTTTAAAAAAAAATTTAGAGTCAAGAAGGGTATTCTGTAATATAAAATTTCATTGACTAAATGTAAGTCAATAGTTAGAGGCGAAATGCAGTATAATTATTGACAGTTGTGAGCAGTTGTTCAGTTCCACTTACTGTTTCTGGTCCATAACCGTGTTGGAGAGTGGTCGTGACAGATGGTGTGAGGAATCAGGTGATGATATGCACATGTCATGCTGGTGCCATGGAGAACATGGAACATGGCCAGTCGTGGTCATGCTCGTGTAGTCTCACAGCCTGGGTCAACTGGAGCAGAATGGACTGTCTACATTAACATTGCAGGACTGAATTATATTTTGTATTTTTTGTTAATTTGAAATTAAAATGAAAGAAATGTATTGTTTGTACTTGGACATGTTGAACACATTTCAGCTGATCGATACTAGAGTGGTGAATGTAGATTTGGTGTCGTGTTCTTGATAGATCCAGATGAGATAAGGATGGCTGTGTGGAAAGTCCATACTTCTCATGTGCAGGAGACATTCCATGATGAAAGGGAGACTCAACTTTTGAACTAATACATTAAGCTCGAGAGATTTGATCAAACCATTGCTTGGGACATATTGTACAGTCAGAATAGTACTTGACAATTATTTTTCATGGTATGTACTGTGCCCTCATGATATAACTATCAGAGCTATAGATAAGCTTTTGGTTATTTTGTATTTTACCCAGGGGTTTGAATTAATTGGGTATCCACAGGTTTTAGAGGGTATTCAAATTTTTTACCCACCTGTTTCTTCACATTTTAATTATATTTCAATAGAGTATTTATAGTTTTAGTTGTGTTTCTGATAAACTAGGATTTGATTTGTCTGCATATTAAAGGTTATTTTATGCATATTTTACGCAAATATACATATTTTACGCAAATATGCAGCTTATCTCGAGTTCTGATTATCATATTTTTTATTGATCATTGACCATGTGATCCTTATGACATCCACAAAGTGTCCCAATACACCAGTCCTTGAATCATTATTGCTCAGAGCTAAGAACAAGCCAACATTGTAACCAGTCCCTGTCACTGAGCCCCCAGCCCAAGGCAAGCCCTGTCGATGTCGGTGGGCCGCTGGCCCTTCTTACATCATGTCCCCAAGTCTACTTTGTCTGGTTACAGTGGAGGAACAAAGCTGTAAAACTGCTTTGTTTGTCTTTCCTATTTGTCACAAAGTACATTAATAGCTCTGTGTCATCAATGAACATGCAGTAAGGTTACTAGAAAGAGTCTTTATCCTTGGCTATTAGGGAAATAGGACTGTTGAGATCTATCACAATTTGCTGGGTCTGTATTTTTATATTTGAAGTATACTTAGTTAAGGCAAGATTGGGATTGGCAATTGTGGGACCTAAAATCAGTAGTCAGGATTGAGTAGGTAGCATGCAATATTATGATGGAAAGACAAACACATTTTCAACCAATTTCAGATTAAATAGAGCTGGCTGTTACTGTCCAATGTCTATCTGGCATGCAGCAAATAGTTCCACTCAGTGTAGAAGCCAACTAAAACAACCATGGGTGAAAATGTCAGGAATGTGTGACACATGTCATTTTATGTTCAGCTGTTGTTTACAGTTAGATTGTTAACCTTGGTTAGTGAGTGGGTGAATGTTGTCGAAGTCAGCAGTATTCAAGCTAGATCGTGGTGGCGTGTACATAACAGGTCTGGACAACACAAACCAGTGACTGCAAGCAAGAGCAATGGTACCCTCCATCAGGGCACAGTGACACACAGGCAGGGACTGCAAGCAAGAGCAATGGTACCCTTCATCAGGGCACAGTGACACACAGACAGGGACTGCAAGCAAGAGCAATGGTACCTTCCATCAGGGCACAGTGACACGCAGACAGGGACGGCAAGCAAGAGCAATGGTACCCTCCATCAGGGCACAGTGACACGCAGACAGGGACGGCAAGCAAGAGCAATGGTACCCTCCATCAGGGCACAGTGACACACAGACAGGGACTGCAAGCAAGAGCAATGGTACCTTCCATCAGGGCACAGTGACACACATACAGGGACTGCAAGCAAGAGCAATGGTACCCTCCATCAGGGCACAGTGACACACAGACAGGGACTGCAAGCAGGAGCAATGGTACCCTCCATCAGGGCACAGTGACACACAGACAGGGACTGCAAGCAAGAGCAATGGTACCCTCCATCAGGGCACAGTGACATGCAGACAGGGACTGCAAGCAGGAGCAATGGTACCCTCCATCAGGGCACAGTGACACACAGACAGGGATTGCAAGCAAGAGCAATGGTACCTTCCATCAGGGCACAGTGACACACAGACAGGGACTGCAAGCAGGAGCAATGGTACCCTCCATCAGGGCACAGTGACACACAGACAGGGACTGCAAGCAAGAGCAATGGTACCCTCCATCAGGGCACAGTGACACACAGACAGGGACACAGTCTGACCAGCATGTCCACTGGACTAGACCACTCGTGGGTATAACCAGAGTGGTAAATGTCTGACACCTGCATCACTTCGAGCTTTCCTCCCAGATTAGGCTGACAGTCATGATATAACTGGAATAGTGTTCAAAGCAGTGTTGAACCAACTCACTTGCTACAACAAGCATGCTGTTGGTCAAAAAGGTTAAATCTTTAGATGACAAAATTCTTACCACAGGAGCAAATCAAATTATAATAGTGTTTGGAAAGTAGGAAAAAGATTCATTCTGAAATGTTGCAACAGTATGTGGCAAGACAGACTTTTGATTGATTGTCACTGTATTTTTAAGTTGACCATATTTTGTGATGAGTCAGCGCGTAATGACAATGTAGATCAGGTCGTAAACTGTGTGGTTATTTGACAGTCTGACAGCCAGCTAATGACAGGCGTGAAGACTGGGTTCTGAGGGCAAGGTATGGCCTGACTACCTGCTGTCGTTGACGATGATGATTAGGTCACATTAAGTCCAATCACTGAATCACCTCCAGACATTAGTTAATTCTGATTAGTGCCTGAAGGTGTCAATAATTACGCCAACTAAGTGCTTCCTGTCTAAAAGCTCGCTAATCGATTGTCTTGTGCAATTAGGATTTATTTCTAGATCTTATTTTGATTATCTGAGCGTATTTTCACGACTAAGGCACCCAAGAGGATATACCCATTGTTTGCTGTGTAAGCAATTCTTTTCTGTGTTTATTGCCACTCTGGAATAAAAAAATAGAGACAATTTATTTTTACGGATCAGACAACAAAAGGTATTATTCTTTATTGATATTGCTTAATTAAGGACGGATGATTTTGTCTTCCTCAGGGATCTGGGAGTTATGTTCAATACTATTCAATTTCAACAAAGGAGCTCTTTTTTACCTGTCATAAACAGAATATTTTTGGTATTTATCATTTCTCTTTGTCATATTTGTTTTGAATGGTTTGTCGAAAAAATAAAGCAGTACTTTTCCCCTGTTTTTTTCATCCTGTTATCCGGTGTTTATACCTCCATTCTATTATTTATACCCTGGAGACATTCACAGCCATAGTTTCGTATTTAGGTCTGATTTGAATGACAGATTCAGTGCTGAAAATGACATCCAATCAAATTACACATGTGTGCAAGGGAAATTCTGTGGGAAGTTGCTGAAAAGGCGGGTGGAGATCATCAAAAACGTGTAGCATCACATCCCAAACAGAATGGGTCCAGGGCATTTATCACAACAGAATGGAGGTATCATACACTGTATATTAAATCAATGATGAGTTTTTCTTTTGCAAGATAT